AGAAAAAGAAAATAAGACCTTGAAGGTGTCGGTTGTTGTGATTCGAACATCAGACAGGTTATAGGCTGTCTGCGGTTCGTATCTGGGGTGTAGATGGTTGTTTTTGTTGAGTTGTGCAGTCGTGAAATCTCTGCAAGTCGGATTTTCGACCAAAAATGAGCCAACACCACTCCTCCTGATCGCCAACTCGACAAAAACTCTCAAATCCACCCTTTGTCGTGACTGAATCTCGGCTCTGGGAGAATATCTCACTCCCAGGTTTGTAGAGGACACCACTGACAGGTGTTCAGCCTTCGTCCTCCGGGGTTTGTACGGTCTTGTCTTGTCTTGTTCATTTACGTGCTAGGTAAAGTGATTCCCGTTGCACTCCTACTGGAGCTTAAGCACGGGTGAGGCCGGGCTGGATCAGGTTCACTACCATTAAGTGCATCTACCTCGTCCCACCTAAATGACCGAACCACCTCAGTCATCACCCATGTGTTGAATCATGTCAAGCCCAACCGTCTAGAGAATCCCCTTTTGGCCCGCCGAAGCGCAGATTCCTCTTCATCCTCGGCTACCACGCGCCCGAGCCCTTGACGAGGTTTGTACGGTTTGGAGGTTTCTTTTTATACTTTTTGGTCCTAAGCTAAAGCTATATTTTCCACATTGGGTCAAGGACAGGTGGAGCCGGCAGGGCTCCCTGTAATCTTTCGTACAGCCTAACTCGTTCTAACCTCGTGAATCGCTAGCAAAAGTGCAGTCGATTAAACTGAAACGAAAAATCAAGAAAATCAAAACAACTCCGAAAGAACAGAAGATTTCTCAACAATGGACCCAAGCAATGTGCTCGTCACACATTTCCTCGTCCGTCACGCCTTCCAGATGACAAATTTACTTAATCTCCGCTGAGAGCAGTAGATAAGTTAGCAGGCACCTTTGATCCAGCCGGTATCCTGCTAATAGTTAGTAGATGCCCCAAAAGAGACATCGTCGAGGTCGCTGTTCCCTCAAGCTTCTTCTTCAGATCCCAGCGCTCCAAAACCTGTTGCCTCGGCCATTGCGACATCCTTCGCCGCGGCGACGATCGCCTCTTCGGCCTTTTTGGCTGCAGCCCTAGATCGAGCCGCCCCCGCGAACTTCCCTTGCTCGAGGTGGCGTATCCATGCGAGCTGCTCTTTTGTCACCGGTCCCCCACAGTTGCGACACTTAGTGAGGGCCTTGCACTCGTCTTCCGAGTGCATATTTGATCCGCAGTTCCAGCATGCTGGAGCGCGGGAGCAACCACGAGTGGCGTGGAAGCCCAAACAGCGTTTACACTGTTCGATATGTCGACGAGGCTTGTGAATGGTAGCCATACCAGATTCGTCGAGGAGTCAGAAGCCCGCACGAGGGGCGGAGTCCCGGTCGAAAAGGGCATACCAGCTTCTACATGGCGCCCCAGGACGGCATGTCCCGTGCGGTCGCACCTGAATGGGAAGCTGTCGAGTTTTTCGGCAGACCTCTGATGAGATCCTATCCGCATCCACCGTACGAATACCGTCGACTGTTCTTATGGTCGCGGGAATATTCGCGATCCAAAATACGACAAGGTTGGAGGCTTCTTCTAGCTTGGCATTGAAGTCCGAAAATTTCGGTGCAGCATCTAAGAGCCTTTCCCTTGTATTATCATTACCTGTTAGAATCGCAAAGCCGGTTCTGACACGGTATACGAAGCTACTGTCCCCACGAGGCACTGCGGCCCATCCCATATTTGCTTCGTTATGGCGCTTGGTGAAAGCTTGCGCCACGGGTGCTCCTTTTCTAGGCGAAGGAACAGTCGTTTGTCGATTTTCGCCTTCGGAGCATCTTTCTTTGGGGCCTTTACCGCAGGTTGCGGCACAGTCTTTACAGTTGGGACTGCTTTTTGTTGCAGTCCATTTCTGGCCACCGTTGCCCAGGTGCTTTTGACAGGCAGCACTGGGACGGCGAAAATCGTTGTGCTCCTGGCGTCGGGAGCCCTTGGGAGAGGGTTCGCCGGGCGAAGAGGGAGGACGAGTGGCGTGATGGCTGGGCTCCTGACCATGTATTGCGCGATGGCTGCGCGTAGGTGGACTCTCAAGGAGTCTTGGAATTGTCTGTTTGACCCGTCGGTCAAAAGGAGGAGGATGGATTCGACGCCAGAGACGGCAGCGGAGCAGAGGGCCAGGTTTTCCGCTGTTTCGGCGGCACGTCATTGCTCGGCTTCGACAATGGGTCGTAGTTCGGGCGGGCATTCTGCTTTTGTGGCAGCTTTTGGCTGCGACGTTGATTTTGATGCTAACATGGGCGCAGCGTTCTCCGACAGTTTTGGCGCGGTCGAAGAAGATTTTGACGATTCTCCAATCCCGTGGGGGATGAAGGGTCGTTGAGAGATTTTCTCAACAATTTCATCTGACCCGATCATGTCAGAATCGGACTCAGCGATGGCGGGGAGGGCTTTTTCCTTCCCTTTGGTAGAGACCTTGCTCATCTCCGCGCATTTCGGAGACTGGACAAAGCCAGGTAATTGTTCGAGAGCCCTCGGGTGGACTCTCGTGTTGTACAACTTGGCGTTGGGACGCTTTTTGCGAACTGGAGGCATGGTGAAAATACCTGGGCTCGACGATAATTCAGAGATGGATGCGACGAGGTCGAGAAGGGAGGAAAGAGGGAAAAAATGTATTTTCGAATTTTCGAATCTCTCGAATTGAGTGTTTTTTGTTCATTAACGTGCTAGGTGAAGTAATTACCATCGCACTCCTACTGAAGGGAGGGCAAGACTGAACACCTGGACGCGGTGTCCTCTGTGAACCTGGGAGTGAAATATTCTCCCAGAGCCAAGTTCAGTCAAATTTCGCAATATCAAAGAAGTTGGCCCACGAGGCAAAAATCCAAATTACTCCTCCACGTCGTTATTTCGCTCCCAACGAGTTTGACTCCTATCTTTGTCTCATCGAGTCTACAAGTACGATCAAGAACATCCTCATTCCAATGACCACACCACTCTTCGACCTTCTCTGGCCTCAGCCGGTCACCAAATACACGCCCACGCCGATATTTATACCCGACGGAGGAAGTAAAGCGTGGAGCAAAAATCTGGGAGACAGTTCTTTGGGATGGACGTGAGAGGAATCAGAACAAGTTTACAAGATGATGCGGAGGAAGGATAAAACCTCGAAGGGCGTGAGATTCCGAATTTTGGCAAGGAGTTTTACGAATTGAGCTTTGTGCGCGCCAAGACTTCGCTTGCGAGAGCGCAGTTGACACTATAAACACAAGCCAACGATGGAAGGTGTTGTGATCCGCCTCCTGGTGATGTTCTCTGGTATAGTCTGTGTAGCATGGGCACCTACTCCACTTGGGAAGGAGACATCTCAGACCATATTTCGCGCGGAGAAAAGTTGAAAGATGATGGAGGCATGTCTGGATAACTCAGGGTTTTTGAGAGGTTCCCCTAGGGTGGGTATTCACGGATGAGGGTTGACTTGGGGTGAAGAAAAAGCCACCATAACTTCGCAGTGGTACTTGCAAATGAAATCTGAGGCACGAGTGCTCCTCTTGTAAATTGAGTCATCTTTTCTGTACTTTTCTTTGATATTGTGTCATAGCTAGATAGCTGCATACGCAATTAAAATCTGATGCAAAAAAAAAAGGAGGCCAGTGCAAGACGTAAAAGTAGATGTGTCATAATGTGGAGATCACATGATGACCTCAGCACAGATGCGCTAGTCAGAATCCACAGTAAAGCTGAGAATCCTGTGTAGCGTAGACAAGACAATTATGAACATTTTAGACCAACACAGAATCGTACAACTCTTTACTGAATCATTAACATCGATCGTGAGACCACACCGTAGTCTATCCAACAGCTAATGTATTTACAATGGTGGATACAAGTCTGGTAAAAACTACGATCCGATATATATCTAGTTTAATTTTTTTGTAAGTTTTCTTTCAGTATTTGCGTACACACTGTTCACCCAGTATAAATTCCGTCATATTCTTTTCCCAATCGCTCCTTCTTTATATTCACTGCTATCTCGTCTTCGTCTACAAACTGGCACTGTTCGAACCAGGCTTTGAGATCCGATAAATTATTCTTTTTATACCATCTAGGCTGTTCATCATGATTTGAAAAGATCTATCTTCTGACCATCGCAACACCTCAATTCTTCCCCTAGCAGAATGAGACTATGCCAAGTCCATATTTTTGAAGTTTCATGAAGTGTATGAGCCCTAGAATATCAGGCTGCCTTCTCCAGGCAGCTTTCTTCTCTAAAGGTGAGAGTTGAGGCCGATATGCTCACTTCTCATTTGGATTGTAATATCGCTTTGATTCCAATGTATGTTAGAGGTTTTACTTCTATGGGTAACACGTTTTGCAACTGTGCACTTTTTAGTTATAATTTTAGAAAAAATAGGGCTGTTGGTGAAAGAAACTGACCGTCTTTACTTTCACCACCGAACCTGAATTAGGAAAAGATCGTCCCTCGCGATGTTGCGCTAGGATTGAGTACATAATCTTGTAAATTTGAAGCAGACTCTTGATAGTTAGCCTTCAAAGCCTATGGGTTATTGTTTGACAATATTACTTGAGAGCTCGGAGTACTCTAGTCTGTCCATGTAAGCCTGCAATTTCGTACCCAATAGAAATTCATTTACGAAGGGACGGCGATATTTTGCACAAGCCCGTACAAATTACCGTATCGAGGTCTTAAGGATAATCCAAGTCTAGGATATGGTGTTTTTTGATTGAGAATTATCCAGAAATGGGGAAACCTTAGCAGGCTACGTGTACAACATGACCTTGTTTAGGTATGCGTATTTAGGGAAAGTCATACTCATGATTGTACCATGATGCATGAACTAGACGTCCTTTAGCTCTCATCACTTTGAAGCTGACCGAAGACTAGAGAACTCCGTACGAGTAAGCCTTCACTCTCACAGGATTAGGCTCAAGAGGAAATACACGGGAATTACACGCTACAAACTATATGTTCCTAGTGTTTTTTCCCTAGAATATGGAAAAATTTTTGCGTGATTGGCGACAAGATGCTCTCAACAAACATCAGTATGACTCTGCCATCTTCGTTGGGGATAAGCTGTTAGCCTTGACCCGTGAGCCCTTGAGGACCTATAGGATTTATTAAGACTGATTGTTTTCTAGAAAGTGATAAAGATGCGTTCTGGCTAGCGCAAGTGCATTTCTCTGCAGGCAACTATACACGGGCCCAGAGCTTTCTCATCAAACATGATCTCGTTGCACGAAATACCTCCTGCCGTTATCTTGCTGCTCATTGTTGCATTAAGCAGAACAAGTTTGATGAAGCTCTTGGTATTTTGGGCGATAAGAGTCCTGCCCATCTTTTATGTACTGCTGGGAATAACCGGCGAAAGTTTCAACATACCAGCGGCTATGGAAAGCCCGTAGCAAAATTAGATGGAAAATCAGACTTATTCAAAAGAGACGACTCTGATCAAGATGAAGCAGGGGTTACTCGCTTTGAAGCTGCTATGTGCTACTTGAGAGGGATATGCTATGCGAAACAGAATGCTTTTGATCGCGCAAAGGAATGCTACAAAGATGCTGTACGAATAGATGTCCAGTGCTTTGAGGCCTTCGAGCAGCTAATGAAAAACTGCTTGATGTCTCCTAACGAAGAATGGGAATTTCTAGCGTCCCTTAACTTTGATTCGATAACCATCCCTAACGATACTTCCTCCTCTCAAGAAGCTGCTGATTTCACAAAGATACTCTACACAACGAGACTTTCCAAATACAAGAACCCTGCTGCCTTTCAGGCTGCTTCTGAAACTCTATCAACGCATTATAACCTCTCAAAGAATGCAGACTTACTTCTTTCCCAGGCAGATCTTTTATTCACCCAATGCAGATTTAATGACGCTCTAGGAATCACCAACTCAATTTTACAAGATGACAAGTATAACTTTAGCATATACCCTCTTCACTTAGCATGTCTATATGAACTATTTCTCAAAAACGAACTTTTTCTTATATGTCATGACCTTGCCGACAACCACCCTGATGAACCTTGCACATGGCTTGCAGTCGGAGTTTACTACTTGGCTACTAATAAGGTGGCAGAAGCTCGCAGATATTTCAGTAAAGCAAGTATGATGGACCCTCATTTTGGCCCAGCTTGGATTGGATTTGCTCATACCTTTGCTCATGAAGGGGAGCATGACCAAGCCATATCGGCCTATTCTACGGCTGCCCGACTTTTTATGGGGACTCATTTACCCCAGCTTTTCCTCGGCATGCAAAATCATATGTTGAATAATATGACCCTTGCCGACGAATTTTTAAAGACTGCGTACAGCCTATGCGAAACAGATCCACTTCTGCTAAACGAAATGGGAATTGTTTATTATCATCAAGATCGACTGGAGGATGCAGTTCTTGTGTTTTCAAAGGCTTTGGAAATCGCAGAAGAAATAAATAGTGACTCCTTAGCATGGCTTTCTACTCAGGCAAACCTTGGTCACGTTTACCGAAGGTTACGTCGATTCGACGATGCGATAGCAGAATTTGACCAGGTTCTACGCGAAGGTGGAAAAGATGCAGCTATATTTTGCGCCAAGGGGTTGGTTCTAATGGATCAAAGACGTCCTCTTGAAGCTGTGCAAGTATTACATGAGGCTTTAGCCATTGCCCCTCAGGATGCTATCGCAACAGAACTACTAAATAAGGTGTTGGAGGAAACTTCTAACATGAATTCGATTCCCAACGAGACTTCCAATAATGATGATAATCAAGTCGAGAATAAAATAACTTTGAAGAAACAAGCTGCAGCTCGTGCCATGAAAAGGCGAGAGGTTGAAAAGCAGAAGTGGGCAAAGCGAATAAGTTTTGATAATGACAAAAATAACACGATGGATTTAGGTGGAGATAATTGATTGAATAATACTGAATAAGATGTTCAGTATATGTTACAAGTAGAAAAGGCTTTTTGTACAGAATGATAAGGACCAGATTAGTCAGTGGGGTTTGAAATGAGGACTTCAAAATCGAGCTAAGAGGTTTCGGCTTCAATAAAAGAAGACATTATTTCCTGAAGCAATTTACAAAAATATGTTCTCCCCTCATACACTCATAGCCCATGGGGTGCGTGTTATTTGGCATGAAGTTTATTATTCTCACTGATAAGAGGCTATATTCATTTTATTAAAAGAGTTTAGATAATGATGCAAAGGATTAGAGCTGAAAAAAAAACAGTTTGATTCCCACCTAATTCATAAGAATTTCTGCTGCTCAATGTTATGATTTAGCTGGATTTTTGATGTCAGGCACGGTAAAGCAGTGCTCATCGGGAATGATGCTATTGATTGCGTTGCAAGAATTATTGATACTAACACGGTAAAGCCAATGACTCTGACATACACTATAATTCTGAATCCAGTGGCATCTCTGCAACTGACATGAAAGTTGAGTTTGATCGTCAAGAATATAGCGACAAAATATTAAGAAAAATGATTTCTCCGAGATATGTGTAAGTGGATTATAAGACATTAAAGTTTTATCCAGGAACAAGTGACGAATGAACGAACTTTGATTAGCTTCGATAAATACATTTTTTTTTTTGCATCAGATTTTAATTGCGTATGCAGCTATCTAGCTATGACACAATATCAAAGAAAAGTACAGAAAAGATGACTCAATTTACAAGAGGAGCACTCGTGCCTCAGATTTCATTTGCAAGTACCACTGCGAAGTTATGGTGGCTTTTTCTTCACCCCAAGTCAACCCTCATCCGTGAATACCCACCCTAGGGGAACCTCTCAAAAACCCTGAGTTATCCAGACATGCCTCCATCATCTTTCAACTTTTCTCCGCGCGAAATATGGTCTGAGATGTCTCCTTCCCAAGTGGAGTAGGTGCCCATGCTACACAGACTATACCAGAGAACATCACCAGGAGGCGGATCACAACACCTTCCATCGTTGGCTTGTGTTTATAGTGTCAACTGCGCTCTCGCAAGCGAAGTCTTGGCGCGCACAAAGCTCAATTCGTAAAACTCCTTGCCAAAATTCGGAATCTCACGCCCTTCGAGGTTTTATCCTTCCTCCGCATCATCTTGTAAACTTGTTCTGATTCCTCTCACGTCCATCCCAAAGAACTGTCTCCCAGATTTTTGCTCCACGCTTTACTTCCTCCGTCGGGTATAAATATCGGCGTGGGCGTGTATTTGGTGACCGGCTGAGGCCAGAGAAGGTCGAAGAGTGGTGTGGTCATTGGAATGAGGATGTTCTTGATCGTACTTGTAGACTCGATGAGACAAAGATAGGAGTCAAACTCGTTGGGAGCGAAATAACGACGTGGAGGAGTAATTTGGATTTTTGCCTCGTGGGCCAACTTCTTTGATATTGCGAAATTTGACTGAACTTGGCTCTGGGAGAATATTTCACTCCCAGGTTCATAGAGGACACCGCGTACAGGTGTTCAGTCTTGCCCTCCGATAAATACATTATACATATGTGTTGTTTGATATTTTTAGTCGCCTCTCATCTGCAGAAGATTTGGCATTATGAATTGGGGGGAAGCAGTAGAGTTAGGGTCCGGGACGGTGCAAGGTTACAAGGCTGAATTGTCAGCCTCGTATACCTTTCTTATAGTGTACCATAGTTGTATGCAGAATAAACAACAACATCTTTATCCCAACGTACATTGTTATCTGATCAGATACCGAGGCACAGCCTATCCAACAATATGAAATATTCAATTTTTATTTCCACTGATCTCCATCTTTTTTCAATCGTTTCTGATCCAAAGTTTCGATACAAGTCCTAGGGATAGGACGACGTAACTTGGCTATCAAGATAGACGTAAGAGTAGTTATTGCGAGCTAGGTCGTAGGTTTAATTTTATATCCGCTAATGAGAAAAAAATGTTCGGGGTATCGGTTGGGGGTCTATATATTGCTCTCCTGAGCGAGGTTAGAATCTTAAAACACAGATTTTAGTTTGAAACATTTCATAAGTTGTAAGCCGCGGGTCACAAGCTGATAAGTGCACTTGAAGCTATCAGTATAATGCTGAACCTATGCACGTATGTTTATTATCTTGCTAGACAATTGGCACCCCTCTCACCTTTGTTTGAGCTTTAAAGCAGAGCAAGACTGAGCACATTTCCTATGGTGTCCCATACTTAACTGGGAGTGGAATATTATCTCAAAGCCAAGTTCAGTCAAATTTGGCAATACCAAAGAAGTTGGCTTAAAAAGCAATGATTGTACTCTCCACCAAATCAATCTCTCACCTCCACACTAACAGAGTCATAGATACACCCGGATTTTAGACAGAACGAACCTACATGTCACTATGTAGTTACAGATTTAAGAGAGAGAGAGAGAGGTATGTTTATTGTACTACTTTAGTCATAGGCTATCTAACACATTGGGCTCCTCTCTGACCCAGGCCACACCTTGTACAGTGCTTCTATCCTCTTTTGTTATTTGAAAGATCATTGATATATTCCCCTTGATGAATAGCCATTCAGCTCAGTGTTTACCCATGGAATTCAGCCACCTTTTCCACGGAACCTTCTACCCAAAAAAAATAAAAATGGTAGCAATGGAAACTGCGTACGCGGGAAAAAGTCTCTAAAAATTTGCAGCCACAGTGTCATGGATCATTGTGGCATAGCGTAATGTGAAACGCCATGCGGACGGCTAAGTTAAAACACAAATAATAGTTCAATGCACTTCTAAAACCAGCAAGGAAGACTGAAAAGAATAGGCTAGTTTCATTAGGTGATGTGTAGCAGATTGTTGGGCATAGGGACTGTGTGCTACGTGCTATTTGGTAATTTTATGTATATAAATACTCGGCGTGAAGAAGCATTATTCTTCACGCAACGTCTTCTTCAATTACCTTAACAATACATTTGTTTACCCATCTCTTCTTCGGGAAGACCATTTATCTCTTTCCAGCTCTTCATCAGCAAGACCCACGTGTAGCCTCTACCACTACTATCTACCTATTTGTCTCTTCCTAGAGAAGACCAGTCATCCCTTCGACCCATTCATCACCTTCATCTACCACCTAGATCTTCGTTAGACCACACACGCACCCTGTGGAACACTGTCCTAACCTCGCCCTTGAGACACAGCCAGGCGAGGCCTAGACACCGGGACCACATGAGGTGCACCTATTCACCTATATCTCCCTTCTACTGTAATTAAGGGAGTAACATGACTGCATTACAATAAACTGTTCACGTTAGAATAATGTGCACATGCGCCATGGGATATGATTGACCTAGATCATCACTCATTGGTATGACATAGTATTTCCCAATAGATTCTTAATGGTATCTATTGGCGCTAGGATCTCTCACATCCTTCCTTTCTCGGTTAGACAAGGACAGATGTTGGAACATCCACTATTGTGCAGAACCCCCTTATTCATGTATATAGAAGAAGGTCCTTGTTGATGTGACAAAGGTCCTACACTAAAAGTATATTAGTTCACTTAAAGTTATGAGAGTACTTGTGTAAGTATTTCGAACTATCGTTTAGAAGAAATGCGCATTCATGGTTCATTCGTTATCTAGTTTACAATGACGCTACAAGATATTAGCTATGTTGCGTTCGGATAAAGTATTGTCCGAATGACGAAATCCACAACGAAGGAAATCGTTTGCAAGTAAACCAAGCTAGAGACGCTATTCCAACAGTCCTGTCACGTAGATAACTTAAGCAATTCATACAATAGGAAATTCAAACGATCTCCATATTATTTACACACTTGAGAATACTAGGGAATATCCTGAAGTTAGTCCATTGATCCTAGTCCTAAGAGTATAACTCACGGTCTTTACTTCTCTTAAGGCCATGGCTACCTCCTTCCATACCTTCATCCTAACGGTACGTCATTCTAGCTCAGCATAGCTTTTCAATATAGCTAACAACTTGCACAACTCCGATATTGCTTTTTTTACCGCCGCTGCTCGCTGCATGGTCTTTTGGGATGGCGGCGAGTTATTCTTTATACGGAAGAGTGGGCCATAAACCAAAAGAGTTGGTACCAACCCATCTGGGTCTGCTGTATCGTTACATACCTGACAGCCATTTGCAATCGTAAATCTTGGGAAGTTGTGGTGTCGGTTTCGCTAGTTATGATTTCAAAGGCGCGTCGAAGGGCTGCATGATATCGCTCAACTTTTCCAATTTAATTGTAAGCTTGTTGCAATTTCAGAGTAAGAGGAGCAAAAAGTTTAGATCAAAGAATAGTGTTTCCATTGCTAAATTAAATAACTTTTGGTCAAACATAATTATTCTTGCACCTGAACATAATGGAGTTATGGTTGTGATTATTGTTTACTTAGGAGCATAATGGGTAAGGCGTTTGGAGATCTTATACACCCTGTGTTAGTAGTTCCATATTAGCGTGTAGCGAGAGCTAGGTCGTAGCATTAGGAGAGAGTGCTGAAAAGCAGTCGCGAAACACGCTCCGCATTTGTGATCCCAATACTTTATCAAATCTACTTCTAGTAGTCCTATATCAGTTGTCTAAGAGAATCAGATTCTAATATTCATTGAAGTTCTAAGTTAAATGTAAAACGCGAGTTTATGTGTGCATATCCTAGAGTTAAAGTGGGTATGCAAACAACAATTATTACAGTAAAAGGTTTTCAGCATAGCTGACCACGAAACCATTTTGCGGGGAATGAGACAGTACTGACCACGTACCATTAACGCCATCCTATTTGTCGCAAAGTAAACATGACCATGTCTCTCACTGAATTTGCACCCAGTATCATACTACCCCGCACATGCAAATGCATGAGAGAATATCTCAACAGTGAAAAGAAATCAATATGTAGAATACAGGATGTATTGTGCAGCATGCAGGAAAGTTGTTCATATTTGCAAGGAATGCCGATTATCGTTAGAAAT